TCTCTGTAATCTTTTGAACCTCGCTCCACGACTACTTAGAAGCTCTCATTTCTTCCCTACACCATCTTCTCCATGTCACCCTCACATGGGACCCCAACTCATCGTTTCCCATCTGGGTACCACTCGATAGTCTGGCCTGACGTGTGATGTCTCCAGCCGGTCTACTCAGTGTATGCCCAATCCACTTCCACTTCCTTCCAGTGCACATTTGTTCAGCGACAGGTTCTTGGTTTGTTCATTGAAAGAGTTCCTTTTGCTTATTCTTATGATTCTAGCCATCTGAGCTTCAGAAACGAGCCAACGTAGGTAGTTGTTGACGAATGTCTGTAGTCTGTTGGAAATGCCTTTCGTAATGCGCCAAGTCTCTCAACCATATAGAAGCTCTGACTTGACTGAATTAGTGTTGAAAATCCGGATGTTGTTCACGCTTTATGCTGAGTACAGAAAATCTCCACACTGATTTCAGGTTAATGAACGCCTGTCTTGCTGTCTTTCCGATCCTGTCTGTTTTTGACATCCTCGTCTGTGCCTGTGCCGCCTGTAGTTGAGGTGATGCTGACTAGATCGGTGAAAGAGGCTACTTCCTTTAAATTTCTTCTGTTGATGGCGATTCGAGCTTCTTGTTGATGGTGGAAGTGTTGGTTGTGTATCTTCATCACCTATTTCTTCTCTACGTTCACTTGAAGTCCCGTCTTCGCTGCCCTGCCCTACTTTTTCTATCAACTTGTTAGTTTTCGCCTGTAGATCTTAAAGTGTGTGTAACATCAGACACAAGTCATCATGGGCGAAATCCAAGTCTTCTAGGATCTTTCCCCCGGTCCACCACACCCCCTCTTCTCGCTCCCCACTGTTCGTTGCATGATCCAGTCGACTACGATCAGGAATATCATGGGTGATAGTAGATAGCCTTGTCTTACTCCTTCCTGTCTCCACTTCAAAAGCATCACTGAGCTTCCGACTGTGAATTACTTGGCATGTGGCGCCTTCATATAGTTGTTGAATGAGGTTGATAATAGTTTGTGGTACTCTGTAGTGTTGAAGCAGCTGCCTGAGAAATTACTTCTCCGTCGACAACTCGACCGAAGGCCTTTTCAACATCGATGAATGGTTCCTTAGTTGTCTCTTACTATCAAGATATCTGTCGAATGGTTATCGTGCTCGCCACGAGGGTCCTCAGATCGATCGCTGGTGTGTCTGTGTATTCCTCTATCCATAACATTACTCATTGCTTTTCAACTAATCAAATGTCAATAATACGACCTTAGATCAAGGACAAATGGTTAGACCGCATCAGATATAAACAAATGATTGACCAATCAGCTAATATTTCTGTTCATTCTAACAAATTTTCATCTTCAGCTGTACAGTTGAATGGTCAGTAAGTCTGATGTGTTGGTCAGAGAATTGTTCTCATCCCTTAACATGATGATAAGGCTACCTACGTCTATAAGCGGCCATATATATTTACCATATGTGTGGTCTAGTTTAGTCATCTCCTTGAGTTACCTACTGATGTGTTGTTCATGATAGTAAGGAACACCTTGAATATCAGACAGTCAGTGTAATAGTCACCATTCAGCATACTCTCACAATCAGACCAATCGTAGAGTATTAAACAAGGAAACCAGAAATCAGGTTTATGTCAAGTCATAACAGCTATCATGATTTATCTATTGTGTTTCTAAAAATAGTCAAGATAACATTCCACTCTATTGATCAATAAAATATGTGTTACCCTTTCCTCTGTATGGATTACAATATAATCAGTTGTCTAGGTCATATTATTGAATAAATAGTTATTCATTGATTTATTTACTAACCCAAAATCTATATCGAATGACATATCCATCCTATAATTGTGTATATTGAACATTGGAGATATTTGTTTTACTGCATCAATGTGTGTGTGTGTGTGTGTGCGGATAAGTGGGTGTAGTGAATTCGGTATGCGCCACACATTTGACCTTGTCATTCATTAGGTTAACAGTGAAATTATATTTTTGTTTCTGACTACTAAAATTTGAAGTTTAGGTATTTCTTTAAAAAAATTCACCAAGGTAATTCGAATCGACATTATTTGGCCTAGTGTATATAGTGTAAGAATCATTCCATTTCACAGATAAAATCAACGTCAGAGTTCCTTCTTGCTTATTCTTTTTCGCCTTCTCACCTGATCTTCAGTATCGAGTGAGGGTGGGTGACAGGTGTTCATCTACGTCGGTAGTTTGTTCAAAATGCTTTTCATATCACGCGAAGTCTCTTAAACATATACAAGAACTGACTTGACTGAAATAGTGTTGAAAATCCAGATCTTGTTCACGCTTTTGTCATAAGTGGGGTTATTTCAGATTAATCAACGCCTGTCATGCTTTATTTCTGATCCTGACTCTGACATCATCATCTGTGCTTGAGCTACTGCTTAGGTAGGTCGATGAAAGAGACAACTTCCTCCAGATTACTCCCTTTCATTGTGATTGCTGTTCATTGTTGTTGTGGTTGTTGGATGGGTATCTTCATCGCCTTCGTCTCCTCCACGTTCATATGAAAGAAGTCCCACCTTAAGTCTATGCCTCGCCACGCCTCTTTTGCCAACTTGTTAGTTTTACCCACAACATCTTCGAGTTTGTGTCACGTAAGTCATTCGACATAAATCATCGTCGGTAAAAACCAAAACTTCTACGGTGTGTTCATCGGTTCAGTCAGCGCATGGTCATCTCCTCATACCTCGCAGTTTCTTGCACGATCCAGTCCAGTCCACTTCCTAGACATCAGTGAGCTTTCCACTGTCAATCACTTGGCATGTACCAACATACGTCAGAGCATATAGCTGTTGAATGAGGTTGATAAAGGTCAGGTTTGTGCCAATAAAACCGTAAAGATGAAGCAGCTCGGTCGATGCTATCGAAATCGCTTTAAAAGTCGATGAAGTTGAGGAAAAGAGGCAGTTGACCATCATTCTACGCTCTGTTCTATGATGTTGTATAGCGTAGTGTTGTAATTTGGTCAGCATATAATTTGTTTTATACTGAAGACAGAGATGCACACAGGACATACTATTTTTTAATTACGTTCATCTTCAACAGTATTACAACTGTAGAAAGTGGGGATCCTATGTCACATAGAGTGAATACAATTTCGTTAGGTGCATAGAGGTACTAAACAACAAAAGTTCGTAGGTTGTCCGTTGCACGTAGGTTTTTTGTGGAAAGAGGTTTGATGAAGTACGAAACTGGAAGTAAATAATGATCATTCCAATTGTACACCTCCTAACAAGCCTGTTTTCAACGAGCTGATAATTCAACGTTTACTTTCGCTTTCATCGAGAGAAGATACATCGGCCAATTGGCTTCCAGAGGGCTTTCACCAACTGGCGTCATTTCGCCTGTCCGATTCCAGTGAGGAATAATTTTGTTTTCATTTTTATATTTTGTTTATGCTTTGAAGTTTCTTTAGCGGTTAGGTTTGTTTTACGGGGTAGGGTTGCTAGCACTATGTCCAACCTTCCCTCTTTACCCGGGCTTAGGACTGGCTAGTAACTAGTGAACTAGTTAACCAGGCGAGGTTTCATTCCTCATTTATCATCGGATAATTCCTATCTAAGTTTTAAAACGCTAGAAAGAAATATCCTTTTTCTACACATTTCTGAAACATTAGATCCATTCTGCTCATCCAGTGAACCCATAGTCTAACGTTTATGTCATGTACACAGTACAGAAATATCAGTTGAAAAACCTCTAGGAAATTGTGCTGGGAATTGCTATTTATCTTTGAAAAGTATGAACTCCAGTTACAACAGACATTTGATCAGTTGAAGAAACATGCTTCGAAGAAATCAATCTAACCATTAAAACAAACATAAGGACAACTGATGAGTACCGTATGTGACGAAACACACATCCTTATTTCTGCAGGTGTTGACACTGACAAAATGTCCACCTGTTCAATTAGAAAAGCTAACTGAACTATAATCATATATTCAAATGAAGAAATGGCATGATACAATTGGAGGAACAATGCAAACCTGGGAGAACTGGATAGGTGTTTCGTCCCGGTGTGGAACTCCTCAGTAGTGCATACCCACGACCCCTTCAGGGATAGAACCTGTGACCTTCAAGTTTTGGTGGCCAGCAGGTGACCATTGAGCCACTGGGTCAGAAACCAATGGTTGATATTTTCAACTTCTGTTAGCTCACGATATAGCTCAACCGCCACCCAATGTTGTCGTTGAGTAACTGTCCTCATGAACATCAGGCTTTGCCCCCACTGGTAACGATTGCGCATCGGAACTTTGGGAATACCCCCTGAAGCCAGTCACCAATTAGCACTAGTGCAGTTAAATTTTTAGGGAGGAACCTGGCTGGTTCGTGGGTGCACACTGCTGAAGTGTCCCATAGTAGGACGGAATAGCTGTCCAATTCTCGCAAGTTTCCTTTCTTTCCTCCAACTGATGTCAGTCTACGATGAATAACAACTTGAAAGATTTCCAAATCTCCACAACTCCCTTAAAATTCAATTCATGCGATGCTCATTGGTGATTAGCTTGGAGAGGTATTCGCGAAGTTCCAATGCGCAATCGTTACCGGTGGGGGCAAAGCCTGATGTTCATGAGGACAGTTAATCAACGACAACATTGAGTAGCGGTTGAGCTATATCGTGAGCTAACAGAAGTTGAAAATATCGACCACTGGATTGTGACCCAGTGGCCATGAAGCCTGAATGTCACGGGGTCGATCCTTGACGGTGCGGGATCATGGGTACGCACTGCTGTCCAGTTCTCCCACGTTTCCTTTGTTCCTTCAATCGATATCAATCTACGATAAATAACGATTTGAAATAGTAAAACTATTATTCTCATGAAATACTATCCATATACAAAATTCACATATTGAAAACGTAGCACAACTATTCACTTGAAATCATACCATTTGAAGTAATCATGATCAGATTGAAATGGATAATTGAAAAGGATGAAGACACTGCCAACATCAGTATACACATCATCAGATGTCTACAATTTCCATGAATTCACTTTGATAACCTTCTTTACATTGATTCAACTGATACATAGGATGAGGTGAATTATTATTATTATTATTACTACTATTAGGATTATCATTATTCTTGTGATGATGATGATGATCATTGTTGTTTAAATCTTCAATTTCTATAGACCATGATTGAATAGTTGATGATGAAAAGATGAGATAAAATAATCCAGTAGTTATAAATATTACAGCTCCAAGATAAAATACATAACGCCATTGTTCATATGTTTTCTTAATTCAAAGAAAAATAAACAATAATGACTTGACAATTAGATAAATTTTTTATATTATATAGATGTTAACAAGAATCCAGCTCGTTAAATGATCGATCCAATTACCTGATGTCTAATTTATTAACCAACCGAAATTCCATCAACTTTTGATTGTTTCTCTTCAAGTCAACCATTTGACTTGACTATCTATTCATCTAGTATTGTGAAGATGGTAAAATAGTCTACACAAAGTGTACTCTCTCTCTCTCTCTCTCTCTCTCTCAACAGCATTTCTCAACATTATCCTACATACCCCCCTTTCCTTCTAAAAGAGAGTGGAATCCCATTGCTGAGCATCTATAATCACTTCATTTCACCAGAATTCCCCCCACCCATTCATAATCATTTTTCACCTGAACAGAATAGAAAATCTTCACAGTTCCTTCATTCAAACCTGATCTCTGTATTCAATAGACGTACATCCAGTGACTAATTCCATCTTAGTTAAATTCTCACTACCCCACCTAGGACCTGGTACTCACTTATAATCTATTCATGAGTAGATTATTGCACTCTCTTCTCCGCAGTCTTTTCAACCTGCCACCACAACTGCCCACAAGCTCTCATTTCCTCCTCGCACGATCTCCTTCATGACAGCTTCGGACGCCCAACTCCTCGCTTCCCATTTCGCTTTCACTCGAGCACCTGGCCTGGCGCGTCATGTCCTCAATCGGCATTCTCGGAGTATGCCCAATCCATCTCCACTTTCTTCGACTTCATATTTGTTGGGTGATAGGTACTTGGTTGGTCCGTTGCCAGCCAGTTAGAGTTCCTTGTTACTTATTCTTTCTGGCTATCCATCTGATCTTCACTATCCAGTGAGCGTAGGCAGCAGCTGTTGATGAGTGTCTGTAGTTTGTTGGAAATGCTTTTTGTGACACGCCAAATTTCTGAACCATATAGAAGCACTGACTTGACTGGATTGGTGTTGAAATCACGAGGGTATAGTTTATGAAAATGATTCGTCTAGAAGGAATTGTCTTTTCTCAATGATTTTTATCATTGTGGAGATGAGAAAAATTACAAAATATACTACTTATTGACAGTTTCAGTAGTTAAAAGCTACTCAGGTTAATCAGCAGATTTACGCCAACCACATCATTCTAATTCATTCCTATTCTAGATTAGCTTTGTTTATTTGATATATAGAGCATAGTGATGATGAAGACGTTTTGAGTATAAAAGATTAACTCTCAAAATCATATTTCAATCATCGGCAGGTATTTTTTTTACACACCACACAATTTCGTATATGTTTGGTTTTTTCTCCGTTTCCTTCCTAGTGGAACATGAAGTTTCAGTAACACGTCGCCAACTCAATCCCTTCTCTGAAGTCTGACTTCACGACTTCCTATAAGCTCTCGTTTCTTCTTCACACGATCTCTTCCTCCATGTCACTCTAAAATGCCTAACTCCTCGCTTCCCATTTTGCTTCCACTCGAGCACCTCACCTTACTTCACATTTCTCCCCTTCATAGTGATTGATGCTTCTTGTTGTTGTTGTTTGTGGTGGCGTTGGTCGGGTATCTTCATCACCTCTGTCTTCTCCACATTCACTTAAAGTCCTGTTTTCGCTACCTCTTCTGTCAACTTGTTAGTTTTTAGTGTTATTGCTTGTATTGTTGGATTTCGCCTGTAGATCTTCAAGTTTATGCAGCATTAGACACAAGTCATCGATGAAATCAAAATCTTCTAGGATCCAGTCCAGCGTATCCTCCTCTTCTCGCTGCTCACGGTTGGTGCATGATCCAGTCCACCACAATCAGAAAGGTCATCTGTGATAGAAGGCAGCCTTGTCTTACTTCTGTCTTCACTTCAAAGGCATCACTGAACTTCCCATTGTGAATTACTTGGCATGTGGCGTCTTCATATAGCTGCTGTTGAATGAGGTTGGTAAAGACTAGTGGCACTTCGTAGTGTTGAAGCAACTGTCAAATACTTCTCGGTCGAGGTTATCGAAGGCCTTTTCAAAGTCGATGAAGTTGAGGTAAATATCCAGCTGACTGCCATTCCATGCTCATCTCTATGATGATACGCAGCGTTGCAATTCGGGCCGCACATGATTTCCATTTCCTGAATCCAAGAGGCCAGCGTGTTCCAGTCGTAATTTTGAATCCAGAGCACTTTTTTAGTCTCTACAAGATGATGCGGCTTAATATTTTGATTGCCTGAGGTGGATAGGGTTGGAGAATGATTCCTTGTCAGTTTTCGCAGACTTATATCACCCTTCTTTAGGAGTTTCACATAGGAGTCATTTTTCCAATCAACTGGTACCTTACCTTCCTTCTAAACCTTTTGCATAATGAATAACAAGCAAAAAAGTAAACAGAATATAAATTAATAGAGAATAAAGACAATAGTAGACTTACATCTGGAGTTAATAAATTTGCTACAATAGGAGCTAAAAATCCTGTTAAAGCACCAATTGAATTTGAGGCAGAAAATAATAGACCAGAAAATTGTGGTGTAATTTCAATAGGACTTAACATACCACCAGAGAATACACCAGAGTTAAGAAATAATCCAAATGTTAACAGACTAACAACTAGATATTTATGATGAAAATTAAATAATGTAATTAAAATCATTAGAAAACCTGGTCCAAACATACCTGTAGAGAAGAAAAACAAAAAGGAAAGGGAATTATTAAAAAAAGAGAAACGCATGAATACACACACACACAGACACTTCTCATTGACACTTATATAAAACTTTCAAAATCAAGTTGAAAGGCTCCAAAGAATTTAAGGATAGACCACAGTTCAAGTTCAACACGTCAATTTTATCGACTTTGAAGAGGCCTTCGATCGAGGCGTCTACCAAGGGTGGGAAGTTCAGTGACGCCTTTGAAGTGATGTGAAGACAGGAAGGAGTAAAACAAGGTTGTCTAATATCATGCAGCAGACGGCGACGAGTGAGAAGAGAGGTATACGCTGGACCGGGGAAAAGATCCTAGAAGATTTGGATTTACCCGCCGATAATGATTTATGTCTAATGTCACACGAACTCGAAGATATACAGGCGAAATCCAACAGGTTGACAGAAGAGGTAGGGCAGCGAAGACGGGACTTCAAATGAACGCAGAGAAGACAGAGGTAATGAAGATACCCAAACAACACCACCAACAATAACAACAAACTCCAATCACCATCAACGGGAGAAACTTCAAGGAAGCAACCTCTTTCACCTACCTTCCTGGGCAGCATCAATTCAAATACAGGCGGCAGCACAGATGAGAATGTCAAAGCCAGCAAGGATCGGAGAAGCAAGACAGGCGTTTATTAACCTGAAACCAGTGTGCATATCTTCTGCACTCAGCATAAAAGCGTGCACAATATCCGGATTTTCAACACCAATCCAGTCAAGTCAGTGCTGCTATATGGTTCAGAAATTTGGCGTGTCACAAAAAGCATTTCCAACAAACTACAGACACTCATCAACAGCTGCTGCCTATGCTCACTGGATACTGAAGATCAGATGGGTAGCCAGAAAGAATAAGTAACAAGGAACTCTGACTAGCTGGCAACGGACCAACCAAGAACCTATTGCCCAACAGATATACAGAGGAAGAAAGTATAGATGGATTAGGTATGCACTGAGAAGACCATTCGGGGATATCACACACCAGGCCAGGCACTAGAATGGAATCCAGATGGGAAACGACGAGTTGGGCGTTCAAGGAAGACATGAATGAGATCATATGGGGAAGAAATGAAATGACAACGTACTGCTGTCCCACTAGGAAGCCCAACTGACTATTAGCAATAATAATGATAATAATAATAATTACATTCACGAGAAATGAAATATTCTTCTCTTGTAACTATGAGAATCATATCAACTTACCTATACTATTCATTAATTTACGTACACAACTAAGATTTAAAAGATTTCTGGATAATAAAATATCAGATAACCAACCGAATAATAATTGACCAATCCACATACCAATATATGGTAATGCAGATAATCCAGCATTCTTATAAAAGGAAGAAGAAGTTAGAGAAAAAACAATGAATAACATATACATAAATGAACTGATTGATATGCATTACAAGAAGATTAAAAATCGGAGAGCAATGAATAGAAGGTGTTTTCTCTCTTTGCAATACTGCAACATTGCAGTTAATTAGAATAGTATATGAATTAGTTCTCCGGATACTTTTAACCTTTCAATCGCTCCTCTAGATCGATATAAATCTGTGATGAATACCTTATATGATATGACTACTTGACAATAACAAGAATCCAGCTCGTTAAATGATCGATCCAATTACCTGATGTCTAATTTATTAACCAACCGAAATTCCATCAACTTTTGATTGTTTCTCTTCAAGTCAACCATTTGACTTGACTATCTATTCATCTAGTATTGTGAAGATGGTAAAATAGTCTACACAAAGTGTACTCTCTCTCTCCCTCTCTCTCTCTCTCAACAGCATTTCTCAACATTATCCTACATACCCCCCTTTCCTTCTAAACGAGAGTGGAATCCCATTACTGAGCATCTATAATCACTTCATTTCACCAGAATTCCCCCCACCCATTCATAATCATTTTTCACCTGAACAGAATACAAAATCTTCACAGTTCCTTCATTCAAACCTGATCTCTCTATTCAATAGACGTACATCCAGTGACTAATTCCATCTTAGTTAAATTCTCACTACCTCTCCTAGGACCTGGTACTCACTATAATCTATTCATGAGTAGATTATTGCACTCTCTTCTCTGCAGTCTTTTCAACCTGTCACCACAACTGCCTACAAGCTCTCATTTCCTCCTCGCACGATCTCCTTCATGACAGCTTCGGACGCCCAACTCCTCGCTTCCCATTTCGCTTTCACTCGAGCACCTGGCCTGGCGCGTCATGTCCTCAATCGGCATTCTCGGAGTATGCCCAATCCATCTCCACTTTTTTCTACTTCATATTTGTTGGGTGATAGGTACTTGGTTGGTCCGTTGCCAGCCAGTTAGAGTTCCTTGTTACTTATTCTTTCTGGCTATCCATCTGATCTTCACTATCCAGTGAGCGTAGGCAGCAGCTGTTGATGAATATCTGTAGTTTGTTGGAAATGCTTTTTGTGACACGCCAAATTTCTGAACCATATACCAGCACTGACTTGACTGATTGGTGTTGAAATCACCAGGGTATAGTTTATGAAAATGATTCGTCTAGAAGGAATTGTCTTTTCTCAATGATTTTTATCATTGTGGAGATGAGAAAAATTACAAAATATACTACTTATTGACAGTTTCAGTAGTTAAAAGCTACTCAGGTTAATCAGCAGATTTACGCCAACCACATCATTCTAATTCATTCCTATTCTAGATTAGCTTTGTTTATTTGATATATAGAGCATAGTGATGATGAAGACGTTTTGAGTATAAAAGATTAACTCTCAAAATCATATTTCAATCATCGGCAGGTATTTTTTTACACACCACACAATTTCGTATATGTTTGGTTTTTTCTCCGTTTCCTTCCTAGTGGAACATGAGTTTCAGTAACACGTCGCCAACTCAATCCCTTCTCTGAAGTCTGACTTCACGACTTCCTATAAGCTCTCGTTTCTTCTTCACACGATCTCTTCCTCCATGTCACTCTAAAACGCCTAACTCCTCGCTCCCATTTTGCTTCCACTCGAGCACCTGGCCTGGCACGTGATGTCCTCAAACCGTCTTCTCAGTGTATGCTCAATCCAATCCATCTCCACTTTCTTCCTCCGCATATTCCTTGGGCGATAGGTTCTTGCTTCCGTGATTGGCTCGTTGCTAGGCAACAGTTCCTACTTGCTTATTCCTCCCCACTTTCTCATCTGATCTTCAGTATCCACCGACAACAGGCGGCAGCTGTTCATGTATATCTGCAGTTTGCTCGAAACGCATTTCGTAACGCGCTAAGTCTCTCAACCATCATACACAAGCAAGCACTCACTTGACTGACTTAGTGTCGAAAATCCGGAAGGCAGTGGACCTCCACACTGATTTCAGATTAAAGAAGGGTGGCCTGTCTTGCTATCATTCGATCCTCTATTTCAAATCCCCATCTGCGCCACCGCCTGAAATTGAAACCATGCCGTCTAGGCAGGTGGGTGCAAGAGACAACTTCGTTAACATCTCGCCCCTTCATTGTGATTGGTGTTTCTTCTTCTTCTTGTTGCTGGTTGGATATCTTCATCACCACTGTCTTCTCTACCTTCACCTGAACGAAGTCTCATCTTCCTTCGCTAACTCTTCTGTCGACTTGTTAGTTCTACCCACTACATCTTCCAGTGTGTGTGACATTAGAGATAAATCATCATAGGCGAAATCCAAATCTTCTACGATCTTTTCATCTGTCAAACAACATATGCCCATCTGATAACAGCTCCTCACAGTTGTTTCTTGCCTGGTCCAGTCGACCACAATCACGAAGATCATCGGTGGTGATAGATATTAGGCGGCAACCTTTTCTTACTCCTTCTTGTCTCCGCTTCACTACAAAGGCGTCACTGAGCTTTCCACCATTGTGAATCACTCGGCATGTAGCACCTCATATAGCATATAGCAGATAGTTGTTGAATGAGGTTGATAAAGTTCAGGTTTGTGGCACTCACACTGTAGTTTTGGAGCAGTTTCCAGATTGCTTCTCAGTCGACGCTGTCGAAGGCTCTCTATACATAATCAGTCGCCTATCAGTTATATCCTACTATGGACGGACACATACGCACACCCGCACTACAGGTCACCACCTGACTCAAGTGTCTAGTGGATATCTTTCTGGTAATTAAGGCGATTTATCGTCAAGTTAATTATTATTCGGCAGAATGTAATTCATTTGGGAGGAGACAAGTATATAGGCTGATGAGTCTCAAAAATAGAGAAACGTTTCGTCCGTCTGGCTTACAGTTGCTGACACTGGTAATTATGAAGTTTGTCATAGACATTATCTCTCACCTTAGTGAAGGAGTTTTACTCGGACATCTGTCGGCATGTTACAGCTCATGGTAAGATGTTAAGTAAGTTGTTAACGTCGAATGGTGTCCATCAAGGATGTTCACTTTCTCCACTCCTATTTAGTTTTGTCACAGACCTTCTTATGAAGGTGGTCTCTCTTCAACAGAGTAGAATGTTTGACAGACTTCGAATCCGTAGATGACATATTCCTGATAAGCAAAAACGCTGACAAGATGCAGAGTATTCTGGAAACTTTGAGTGGCAACTTGAGAACATATTTAGGATACGTTTCCACCACCCAAATGCGAATTGTTGCCCCAAGACTACTCTTTTATAGGGAGTGAAGTGATTGGTTGCATTGAACATTTCACATATCTGGGAGGCTGGATCAACCCTGATGGGTGGTTTAGTCGCTGATGAAATCTCTGCACAGGTTACAAATAGCTCATATTGCTTCTGCCGACTTACGCCGTTCGCTCCGTTCTACTCTATGGCTTTGAAACATGGCTAGTAAAGATATAAGGCATCAGAAGGCTCGAAATTTTTAGCTACTGTGGCCTTCGTAGTATCGCCACGTGAGTAACGCAGAAATCAGGCGTAGATTTTCAGGGAGGGAGAAGAGGTAAGTCAGTTGACATGGTTGTGAACCTCCATCGACTGAGATAGTTGGCTGGAACATATGTTACGTATGCCCAACCATCGTCTGCCTCATCGCAAAATGTTGGTCAAATTAGGTTCAAGCTAGAGAGAGACTCGGAGTTGCCAGACTATGAAACGGTGTAAATACATGAAGTCTTTGATTGTTCGTCTGAGCAATGTAGGGTGATGCTGGAAGAGGAAACACCAGTGGTTAGAGACTAGGGGGATGATATGACTGAAAACTAATATTAACTGCTTTTGACCGATATCGCAGCAGACAAAGATATATTCATTACGGACTAACATCAGTTTGGAGAACCACTGAAAAACCCCATGGTGGAGAGTGCGCTCAGCAGTAGGTGTTTTGTCCTAGCGCGAGTCTCCTCAACAGTGTATACTCACTGCCCAGACTTATCTGATACCATTCTAAGGGCCTTCTTGAAACTAACAAATCGCCTTCTAGCATCAAAAACGATGGGTTATCATTTCTACTCCTTGATAACTGCATGACAGGATGAAATGAAGATCTTAGATAGGTCAAATATGTATCATCGTAGTTCAGAGTATCAGCTCAGCACGGTTGACTAGTGAGCATTGATAATGGATACAGAAATTCCATCCATCCCATCCAGATCAACCTAGGAACAAGCATTACTAAGTAACGGTTCAACTTACCACACTTCATATCATCAGTACATCAAGTAAAAGGCAGTAAGGTGCAAGATGAAGATAAGAGAATGCAGTCAAAAGAAATATGAAGTACAAAGTGAGAGAAACGAAGAATGAGAAAGTGGTGAGATTCGGTATAGCGTTGTTAAGATGAGGATAATGTGTGTGTGGGATACATCTGTGCTACTGACATGGGTTCTGAGCCATGTGATCACCTAGAGTCTCTAACCACTGGTTACTCTTATCCCGCGGACCCCAACCGGCTAGTCTGCATCCACCCACATCGTTCAAACCAACAATCAGAGACTTCATATACTGGTGCCAGAAATTCTACAAATTCTACAAGGGGTGTTGGGGGGGGGGGGGGTAATCGATTCAACTTAAGTAAAAACAGAGGAAAAAATGTAGGGAATAAATCATTCAAGCTTACCTTTTGAAAATCAAATTGTAATACTTCACGCATATAAGTTGGTACACTAGTTAAAAGTGTATACAAATTCCAATCCAAACCAGTATTCACAGCAACAAATGCCCATACAGGAAGAGATGTTAAAATGGACTTAAATGGGATCTATTTTACAGGTGAATAATTAGGAAAAGAGTGGATAACGAAAAGATGAAAGAGAAAAAAAAAACAATGAGTCCCCACCATCATCATTCTAAACAGAATCTACAGTATAAAGTTAACAAGGTAAAGGAGTTATGGCTTAGTAAATCATCTCAAGAAGACTATGAGGGATTAACTTTCCAGTTAAATCCATGTTCACAATCATGTGTATGCAGTCATCTTAACGAAGATATATCAGTCAATATTCACGTATGTAAATGGTTATGAAGAGGTTGATCTTGTATCTGTCCGATGTTGTATTTTTCGCAGTTTCTGAAATTAACTTTCGTTCCTTATCACATACTTCACTTTGTATATCAAAAAGCGATTCAAAATAGTTTGTATAATCTAATCATGATTTTAAAGATATCAGAATAACTGGAACATGTTTGCGCTAACTTAACACCTAGAAGTAATTAGCAGTTTCACGGTGATCCACGCCTTGTCATTCTACTTCAACAAATTTACCCCCGTTCAATTTTCAATCTTCAAAGTGTCAGCAAGTAGTTCCTTCTCACATTTGTCTTGCAAGATAGAATATTTCAATGCATAACCTTCGACAAGCATCAGCAGTCGATAGATTATGGTGACTGACTGACTGACTGACTGATTGATTGACCAAATCAACGTTCAACATCGTACACATCTGTATCAATCCGAGTTGACACACTTTATAATCTTCTCGTCAAATACTTCTTCACAGTTGTCAGTATGTGTCGATATGAGCGAGGATATATCAGGATGATTCACTGATTAGTCAATGTTCATGTATGTTCATGTAGGTGGATATGAAGAAGGCGGCCAATATCTCCGCCTTAACCCTAACAAGAAGCGGTTTCAAATCATTTGTATAATACAAATGTGATGTCAGAGATGTTCTTCAAGTCTAGGTTCGGGTCATAAAAAACTGGAAGTAATGTACGCTGTCTTATTATGATTATTATTATTTGTCCACTGGGTTCTTAAGGCTTCAGAAGCATATTGCCATTTCACACTCTTCAGTCTGGCTCCATAACTGTCCATAAACCTTCATTTCTTCGTCACAACATCTCCTCCATGTCGCCCTCACACGCCCAACTCGTCGTTTCCCCTTTGGATTCCACTCAAGAACCTGCCATGGCACGTGATGTCTACGAACGATGTTCTCAGTGTATTCTCGATCCATCTCCACTTAATTCTTCTGTATATTTGTTCGGCGATAGGTTCTTGGTTGGTTCGTTGCCAGCCAGCCATAGTTCCTTGCTGCTTATTCTTATTATTCTGGCCATCTGATCTTCGATAGAGAGCGTGAGTGGCAGCTGTTGATGAGTGTCTTTAGTTTGTTCGAAATGCTTTTCGTAACGCGCCAACTCTATCAGCCATCACACAGAAGCACTGACTTCACTGAATTGGTGTTGAAAATCTGGATCTCGTTCACGCTATTTGCTCAGTGTAGTAGATTTCCACACTAATCATTTCAGATTAATGATGGCCTGTCCTGCTGTCTTTCCGATCCTGGCTTTGACGTCTTGATCTGTGCCTGTGCCGCCTTTAGTTGAGACGATGCTACTTCCTTTAGGTTTCTCTCATTGGTGGCGACTGATTCTTGTTGTTGATGTCATTATTGGTTAGATATCTTCGTCAACTCCATCTTCTCAACATTCACTTGAGGGAAGTCCCGTTTTCGCTGCCTCTTCTGTCAATTTGTTAGTTTTCGCCTGTAGGTCTTCGAGTTTGTGCGACATTAAACAATATAACGATTAGTTTATTCTAATTATTGTCTAATTACAGACGATTATGCAATGCCATTTGTCACAACTATCAGTACACCAGTTCCAGTTACTCTGACTGATGCTTGAAAGGCTATGCATGAAGACGAACAGCTGAACAGCTTATTCTTAACTTTCAGGTTCCTTTGTGTAATGGATATGCTCCTGGAATTGTCAACGAGTCGTTAATCATCGAAGACTGTATTGTGACCCTTCAATCATTTTTTTCCCCAGTTATTCAGATGTCGACTTTATGCGTAAACTGTTGCACATTGTCATACCAGCTAATGTTAGATAGACCAGGAGATTAGTGTTACTGCTTGTATTACACCGTCGTTGATTGGATCGAATTGATCAGTCTCTGTTAGCATATGGGCTCCTTTGAGGATGTCTCGATATTGCCTGTATTCTTAACCTATATAGTAATAATGGATAGTGGCTAGCAGTGGAATCCAGGATGCGCATTTTGTCCCAGTGGGAACAACATCACTCACTGGGAGGCAGGTACATCCAGCTGATGAGTCCCAAATAGAACGAAATGCGCATCATGGATTCCACTGCTAACCACTATCCATCATTACTATATAGTTAAGACCAGGAGACTGTGAATTACACCAACTTATCTGTATATGGTCAATTAAAATACAACTAGTGAATTTTGTCTGAGAAATTGATGATGAGAACATTGGGGTTCGATCCTTGAAGGTAAGGTTGTGGGTGTCTAGTGCTGACGAAACATCGCTGTTAAGTTCTACCAAGTTTCCTATATTCCTACAATTGATGTCAGTCAGCCCATGATGAAAACCAACTTGAAAAATCGCTACTCTTAGTACAACTGCTGTCCATATCACAGGTAAATAAGTGCAAACACGGAGCCAATCGAATCATTCAAATTTTTTTTTAACGCTTGTCTAGGCTGGTGATGCCTAGATTGTATGATGCTTGTATGAACCAATGAGTGATGAGTAATTAAATCACGTGCATATGTGACTGCATTCTCATTGGTTACTCATGCTATTTTATGCTACTATGACTAATACTATATTCCTATTTGTTAACTGTGTAACTAAGTTACTGCTTGGTCAGTATATTGCTGGATGAGCAGTTTCATACTGTCTAGTCAATTGTGAGTACAGATCATGGAACTAGAAGATCAACATTTGTGGTACACTCCAATTCTTTGTAAACAAAACTGATAGCAAAAAAAGATGAGCAGTCACCAATTAGGTTGACATATAAAGAATTCTGAGGGAGTTATGAGGATTCGGAATTATTTGAAGTTGTTATTCATCGTAGACTGACATCAGTTGGAGGAAAAAAGGAAACTTGGGAGAACTGGACAGCTGTTTCGTCCTAGTCTGGGACTCCTCAGCAGTGAGCACCACGAACCAGCCAGGTTTCTCCCTAAAAATTTAACTGCACTAGTGCTAATCGGTGTCTAGCTTAGAGAGGTAATCCCAAAGTTCCAATGAGAATTCATGACCGGTGGAGTCAAAGCCTGACGGTCATGAGGTCAGTTACTCAACGATGACATTAGGTGACGGTTGCGCTATATCGTGAGGTAACAGAAGTTGGAAATATGGGGCACTGGGTTCTAACCCAGTGGCTCAATGGTAACCTGCTGGCCACGGGACCTGAACGTCTCAGGTTCGATCCCTGGAGAGGTCGTGGAAGTGCACTGCTGGGGAGTCCCATCTAGGACGAAACAGCTGTCTAGTGCTCCCAGGTTTCCCTTTTTCCTCCAGCTGATGTCAGTCTACGATGAATATCAACTTGAAATATAAGGAATTCACTGTGATGATTCATGGTGGTGTGATTAATTATGGTTGCGATGGGAAGGCATTTATTTTATTAGTAATCGTGTATAATGGCTAACAATGTAATCCGAAAAGTGCATTTCGTCCTACCTGAGACTCATCAGCATCCCAGCGAGGCTCGAACCATGGATCGATCATTTCAAACACTAGAGCGTTATGTAGCATTGATACTTATGTCTAGTAGCAAATAGGTTCGAGTGAAGATGCCTCCATATTACCAGTCTGAAGGCTTACAGTGTTAATTTTGAAGGGAAAAAACAACACATTAGGATGTCGCTTACCTTTTTTTTTCCAGTCTTCTTCAAAACTGGACAACTTGATTCTAAATAAAGTTTTTCTTCAATAGATATTCTTGGATGTGATTTAGGTTCATCATAGACGAATATAAACCATATTATACAGTAGAAAAAGCTGAAAGTACCTTTTTTTAACATAAGGTTGATCAGGAAGAAGAAGAAATGGACAATCATGAGATATGCGTCACCGCATAAACGTAAAAAAAAGTGAATTTCTTAGTTGAATATCGATAAGAACATTCAATTTTTCAGTGTGAGGTCACGTGGTGTCCCCTCGTGAGTGACGCAGAAATCAGGAGTAGAGTTTTAGGGAGAAGAGGTAAGTCGGTTGACAAGGTTGTGAACCTTCATCCACTGAGATGCTTAGGACACGTGTTACGTATGCCTAGTCGCCGATTGCCTCGTCACACAATGTTGGCCGAAGTAGACGGAGGCTGGAAAAAGGCCCGAGGTGGCCAGACTAAAGCATGTTGTTTTGAGCGATGTGGTGGATGCAGACTAGCCGGTTGGGGTCCGCGGGACAAGAGTAACCAGTGGTTAGAGACTCTAGGTGATCACATGGCTCAGAACCCATGTCAGTAGCACAGATGTATCCCACACACACATTATCCTCATCTTAACAACGCTATACCGAATCTCACCACTTTCTCATTCTTCGTTTCTCTCACTTCGTACTTCATATTTCTTTTGACTGCATTCTCTTATCTTCATCTTGCACCTTACTGCCTTTTTACTTGATGTACTGATGATATGAAGTGTGGTAAGTTGAACCGTTACTTAGTAATGCTTGTTCCTAGGTTGATCTGGATGGATAGATTGAGATGGAGGTAATCAGCAGGATGTCTTGGCCTTGGAATTCTCTCTGGTTGACACTCACTTAAGTAAGGCAAATCTCAATGGAACTCATATCTTGATTGAGACTTGGCACTTATGTCACCCAATGCTACAGTCATTGATGTTACCTCTTGGATGAAGTAAGACATATACAGAGTGATTCGAGTGAAACTGAGAGAAGAATTCAGTCATCACCCCTACCTAACTCCGTAGCAATGCCCCCCCCTGCCCCGCCTACGTAACCAACACAACAGTGGAAAGTATCATATTAGTGGTTCATTTCTGATTGAAACCATAGAATGGTTTGTTTGTCTGTGCGAAACGAACAAGCACAGGTCAAAGATACTCACCAGACTCAAGGTGGTGAAGTTCGCATGTGAGAAAGAATCACAAGGCAAAATAACTCCCACTGTCAAAATGAACCCATGGTCGATAAAGAGGAGGAACTGGAGACTTTCCACAACATCAGAGAACATTCAATGCTGGTAAATTATGAATTACATTTTCCATACACCTCATGGTGAGTGATATGGAGACTGAAAGGTGAATTGCCTAGAGTGCCCACCTCTTTTTGTGTGTTTATATCAGTTCGACTACTCCTGTGGGCCTAGTCGCGTTGGCCGATTATAAATAGCTTTCTGTCAGACCACCCATACGGTGAATAAGCCGTTTTGCATTATTTACTCGGTTCTCATCTACTTGTCAAAAGGCAACAGGCTTCAAATCCTTCAGACTGCAGAAGCATTGATAATCACGTTCACATAACCTGAGTTTGAACAATTCAAGACTTACAAATACCTTAGCATCCTACCATATGTAATCTATTTTTCTAAATTCCTAATATTTATCCCCCAGCATAAGTAACACTCAATCAAATTATCTATCTCAGTTTACTTACCGTTACTATACAACACTGAATTGCTCAGCCTCCACTGTCAACACATGCGCTCCTATGCGGACGCCTCAAAACTACAGGATGTTCATGTCGATGCCCAGCAGAGGAATCCAACTTGATGCGCGTTTCGTCCTATTCCGGACACGTCAGCTAGATGTACCTTTACCACACCAAAGCGATATCCCCTGTGGCACAATACCCACCTCCTGTACAACCCGTTGGCGTTTCAACCGATTGAGTGTACTGCGTACCACATGACGCATTGAGGTGTAGGTGTATCGAGCTGATAGGTCATAAGTAGGACGAAATGTGCATCCTGGATCCCTCTGCTAGTCAGAAGTGGATGTTCTTCATATTCCTAGTTGATTCCTACCTCGAATAATAAGTGGAGAAAGTACTAAAAACGTGTAGGAACATCCATTCAGACTGAAGAGATGAAGTAATCACCAATAGAAGAATATGTAGATGTAGTATTCATCACAAACTGACATCAGTTGCGGAACCATTGAAAATCTAGGGACACTGGACAATTGTTACGATTGGTTGACCACTCCACAGGTCAGGGCTTCTCATCAGAACCTCAAGATATCCATCTCATGAAACATTATTATTATTAATATCATTATTATTAATGTTATTTATCGCTTGGGTTCCTAGTGGAATATATGGCTTAAGTAGCACATCTCCATTGCACTTTTTCCTCTGTAATCGTTTCAACCTGCCTCTACGAAAGCCGACAAGCTCTCATTACATCCTCACACCATCTCCTCCATGTCACCCTCACCTCGGACAGCCAACTCATCGTTTCCCATCTAGGCTCCACTCGAGGCACTGGCCTGGTGCGTGACGTCCCCAGTTGGCCTTCTCAGTGCATGCCCAATCCATCCCCACTTCCATCCAGTGCATATTTGTTCACCGATAGGTTCTCCGTTGAGTCGTTCACAGCCAGATTTCCTTGTTGCTTAATCTTTCTGGCCATCCATCTGAGCTTCAGTAAACGAGCCAGCGTAGGTGGCAGTTGTTGATGAATGTGTGTAGTTTGTTGGAAATGCTTTTCGTGACACGCCAAGTCTATCAACCATCACATAGAAGCACTGACTTGACTGAATTGGTGTTGAAATTCCAGGTTCTTGTTCTTTGTGCTGAGTGCAGTAGATGTGCACACTGGTTTCAGGTTAATGAACGCCTGTCTTGCTGTCTTTCCGATCCTGACTGCTTTGACATCCTCGTCTGTGCCTGTGCCGCCTGTAGTTGAGGGGATGCTGTCTCCTGGATAGGCGAAAGAGGCTACTTCCTTTCGATTTCTCCCGTTGATGGTGATTCGAGCTTTTTGTTCGTGGTGTTGGTTTTGGTTGGGTATCTTCATCACCTCTGTCTTCTCTACGTTCACTTGAAGTGCCGTCTTCGCTGCCCTGCCTCTTCTGTTAACTTGTTAGTTTTTGCCTGTAGTTCTTCGAGTTTGTGCGATATTAGACACAGATTCCAAGCACTTTTATGCTGTACCTTCTTATCACTTTTTCAATCTGGGTTCATACGTGTTTTGGACATTCCATGTCCCCAGGTTTTCTTTCGCTTTTATCGAGTGAGGTGTACATCCATCGGCCGATTGGCTTCCCTAAGGCTTTCACCAACCGGCATCATTTTGCCTCTCCGATTCCAGTGAGGAATAAGTTTGTTTTTATTTTTTACATCTTGGCTGGGGTTTGAAGTTTCTGCAGCGGTTGTATTGGTTTTCTGGGGTAGAATTGCTAGCCCTCTGACCAACCTTCCCTCTTTACCCTGGGCTTAGAGCCGGCTAGTAACTAGACGAGGTTCACCTGATGAATACTACCTCTCAATTAAAAATCCTCATTCATCTCATTAAAATTCACTACTGTATTCTGCTCATTAGTGACACATGCTTCCAGATGGATATAAGGAAGTTCTAGTGAGAAGCTGTGCATGACCTGAAGGGTGAACCATTCGACAGGTAAGCGGATACCAACTGAAGACCTTAAGGTGAGATAGTCGCGCTATATTGTGAATTGACAAAAGTTAGAAAAACCGACTCACTGGCTGAATGGTCAACGCGTTCGCTCGACGAATATATAGCTAAATATATACACAGTCCATCGTTTAAAAATCTTAATTTTGATTGGTTGATCGATCGTCTTCTAGTCTGACTAACTGCATTATGATTGGTTCGTTTCCGGATTAGTTGTTTTTTCTCTTATCCATTTATAAAAGATGATGCCCAAAAGTTTTTTTCACCTTTTTAGTCCTGTTTACAAGCATAATTTGTCAAATAGGATATTATTCTACAAAACGTTCAATCATAGGATCCATAGATCGGATCCTTCATCAAAGTATATATATACACAAGTGATATGAGGCAAGAAAAACAATACTCACCATAAAAGTAGAATACTAACGACCATCCAATAGATGTCTGACACAAAGCTGCAGTGATAGGCAATGTAATAGCACTGCCGATATGAAGGCCTATTGAAAAGAATTGGGAAAAATAAACAATCAAAAAGGCAAATTGTTATGATTCGATAATTTCCTATATATGCTATGACCGTAAACACTCGTCCTGAAAAAAAAAACAACAGCCGAGCCACACATCTATCAGTGAGCACAAGCCTTCCTACAAAAGCCGAAGTCCTAAACGCGACGCCATAAAGTTGCTGAAATCCAGGAAAGCAGTAGGACCAGATGGGATCCCACTAGAAACGCTGAAAACAGACGCAGAGAAAACAGAAGATATGCTTACACCGCTACTGCAGAAGGTCCTGAAGAAAGGAAGAAAAGAAGGGTACCTGCCGATTGGAAGAAGGGCCACCTTGACACTCTCCTAAAGAAGGGCGACTTAATTCTTTGCAAGAACTGGCGCGGAATCATGCACTTGTCCACTCCAAGCAAAATATTAAGCCGCATCATCCTGGAGAGACTAAAGGATTCGCTGGATTCTAAACTACGATCGGAACAGGCTGGCTGCCTTCAGGAAGTACAAATCATATGCAGCCCGAATTGCAACGCTACACATCATATAACAGAGCATAGAATGGAAGTCAACTGGATTTTTACCTCAACTTCATCGACTTTGAAAAGGCCTTCGATAACCTCGACCGAGAAGTATTTGACAGTTGCTTCAACACTACGAAGTACCACTAGTCTTTACTAACCTCATTCAACAGCAGCTATATGAAGACGCCACATGCCAAGTAATTCACAATGGGAAGTTCAGTGATGCCTTTGAAGTGAAGACAGAAGTAAGACAAGGCTGCCTTCTATCACAGATGACCTTCCTGATTGTGGTGGACTGGATCATGCACCAACCGTGAGCAGCGAGAAGAGGAGGATATGCTAACTGGACCGATGAGAAGACCCTAAAAGATTTAGATTTTGCTCAAGTGAATGTAGAGAAGACAGAGGTGATGAAGATATCCAAACAACAAACAACAACAAGCATCAATCACTATCAACGGGAGAAATTTAAAGGAAGTAGCATCTTTCAGCTACCTTGGAGGTAGCATCGTTTCAACTACAGGCAGCACAGTTACAGATCAGGAAGTCAAAGCCAGTATGGGAAAGATAGCAAGACAGGCCTTCATTATTCTGAAACGATCAGTGTGGAAATCTACTGCATTGAAATAAAACGTGAACGAGATCCGGATTTTCAACACTGACGTCAAGTCAGTGCTTCTATATGGTTAAAAGACTTTGCAGACATACGTGAACAGCTGCCATCAACGGTAGAAGTGTTAAGGAATTAGTTTCTTTTACGTACCTACAAGGCAGCTTCGTTTCAACTACAGGCAGAACAGCGACAGATGACGACGTCATTTATCTCCCCATTGTATTGATTTCAAAGATGTTAACTGGTGGATATGTATTAAACTACATGACTAAGATCAACAGTCGATCACTACAAAAAATGGTCAAACTTCCCAAGATTTCTGCCTGAATTTATGCACGCACCACCCAACCATTTAATATAATCTATGATATGATGATCAGCATCCACCGAGAAGTAATTTGGCAGGCAGTTGCTTCAACACTACGGAATACTACAAACCTTTATCAACCTCATTCAACAACTATATGAAGACTCCACGTGCCAAGTAGTTCACAATGGGAAGCTGAGTAATGCCTCTGAAGTGAGTAAAACAAGCCTGCCTCCTATCACCAGAGAGGATCTTCCTGATTGTGCTCAACTGGATCATGCAACAAACAGTGAGGAGCAGCGAGAAGAGGGGGATAGGATGAACCGCGGAAAAATCCTAGGAAATTGAATATTGCCGATGACTTGTGTATAATGTCACACAAACTCGAAGAACTACAGGCAAAAACTAACAAGTTAACAGAAGAGGCAGGCAGCGAAGACGGCACTTCAAGTGAACGTAGAGAAGACAGAGGTGATGAAGATACCCAACCAAAACCAACACCACGAACAAAAAGCTCGAATCACCATCAACGGGAGAAATCGAAAGGAAGTAGCCTCTTTCGCCTATCCAGGAGACAGCATCCCCTCAACTACAGGCGGCACAGGCACAGACGAGGATGTCAAAGCAGTCAGGATCAGAAAGACAAGCAAGACAGGCGTTCATTAACCTGAAACCAGTGTGCACATCTACTGCACTCAGCACAAAGAACAAGAACCTGGAATTTCAACACCAATTCAGTCAAGTCAGTGCTTCTATGTGATGGTTGATAGACTTGGCGTGTCACGAAAAGCATTTCCAACAAACTACACACATTCATCAACAACTGCCACCTACGCTGGCTCGTTTACTGAAGCTCAGATGGATGGCCAGAAAGATTAAGCAACAAGGAAATCTGGCTGTGAACGACTCAACGGAGAACCTATCGCTGAACAAATATGCACTGGATGGAAGTGGAGATGGATTGGGCATGCACTGAGAAGGCCAACTGGGGACGTCACGCACCAGGCCAGTGCCTCGAGTGGAGCCTAGATGGGAAACGATGAGTTGGCTGTCCGAGGTGAGGGTGACATGGAGGAGATGGTGTGAGGATGGAATGAGAGCTTGTCGGCTTTCGTAGAGGCAGGTTGAAACGATTACAGAGGAAAAAGTGCAATGGAGATGTGCTACTTAAGCCATATATTCCACTAGGAACCCAAGCGATAAATAACATTAATAATAATGATAATAATAATATGATGATGATTATATGCCTAGTATATACGTCCAAGTTACTTCAGTCACTTCAAATTCATGAACACTTTGATCTTTCTCTTGTGGAAAACTACACCGAACTTCATTGTATTTTATTAGGGTACTCTCTCCTCCGCCTCCAATCCAACATATATTCTCATTAGTGAGTCGCTTCAACAAGTGATTCCCTGTTGCTACCAGTGAAATCAATGTAGTCAAAGATGAGGATGAAGGTTGCGCTATAATGTGCACACCACTGAAGAGTCCCATAGTAAGACAAAGCAATGCCTGTTCAATGTTCCTAAATTCCCATTGGTTGTCAAAATGATATCAGTCCATGATCAGTACTAACCTGTTACAGAAAGAAGCTTTTACCAGAATATTAAATAAACATCATAGGCATGATTATATATATATATATATATATATATATATATATATATATATATATATGCACACACACATACGTTACCTGCATAAGCGAATCCAATCAAAAGTCCACGTTCATTTTGTGGTGCCCATGCAGCCCAAAGTTGATAAAATCCAGGAAACCAACTTGCCTAGAATTTTTTATATAATCAGATAGAAATAAACAAACATATAACCAGGTCATCTGTAAAACACAAATGTGTGTCATGAATGTGTAGCTAATTAATTTAACCGATGAGTCACAAGTTCGAACCCCTGCAAAGGCTCACCTGATCCGTGAAGTACGACTTCTTTATCTTTCCATGGATAGGCAGAAGAACTAATCATACTATAAAGGATTTTTGCAACTAACTATGCACCTAATCTACTGTCTATAAAAGAAGGCGATCTATTTCATAGATTAAGGAAATCGGTCTGTCTCAAGGTGTAGAACTTTCTCATTTTCTATTACGGTCAGGTAGCAGCTGGCACTGGAATTCAAGATGCCCATTTCGTCCTATTTCAGACTCGTCAGCTGGATTTACTTGCCTCCCAGTGAGATATATTGTTAACATTGGATTCAAATTCGGGACCAACCACTTTAAACGTCAGAGCAATAGTCACTTCTAGTGGGACGTGTATCTGGTATCGTTACCACAGTTCCCTCCTGCATATACTTTCTGTTCGAATGATCTCCGATAGCGTGTGAAGGAAAGTCGCAGCTACTGATGTATGATGTTTGCAGTTTGTTGGAAATGCTTCTCGTAACACGCCAAGTGTCTTAACCATCACATAGAAGCAGGCACTGACTTGACTGACATTAGTGCTGAAAACCCGGATGTTGTTCACGCTTTATGCTGAGTTCAGTGCGGTGCAGTGCTGTAGATCTCCACACCGATTATTTCAGATCGATGAAGGAAGGCCTGTCTTGCTGTCTTTACAATCCTGGCTTTCAAATCTTCATCTGTCCCGCCATAGCCAACTGTAGTTACCACCTGCCTAGGTAGGTGGATGGAAGAGACAACTTTCTTCACATTTCTCCAGTTCATGGTGATTGGTGCTCGTTATTGTTGTTGTTGTTGTTGGTTGGGTATCTTCATCACCTCTGTCTTCTCTACCTTCACTTGAACGAAGTCCCGTCTTCCTTCGCTACCTCACCTCGTTTCGCCTCTTCTGACAACGTGTTGGTTTTCGCCTGTAGATCATCGAGTTTGTACGGCATGAGCCATTAGACACAAATCGTCATGGCCGAAAACCATATCTTCTGGGGTCTTTTCATCGGCCAAACAGCCAGCGTATGCCCATCTTCTCGCTTCTCATGGTTGTTTCTTGCATGATGCAGTTCAGTCAAGTCGACCACAATCACGAAGATCATCGGTGAATCTTCTCATTTCTTTTACAGTCTGCGCAGCCTTGCCAGCCAGCTTCAAACATTGTGCAGACTTTCCATGTCCCCATTCTTACTTTCGCTTTCATCGGCCAATTGGCTCCTTGAAGGCTTGCACCAACCGGTATCATTTCATCTCCCCGATTCTAGTGAAGAATAAGTTTATTTTATACGTTTTCTCTGTATTTTATTCATGTATTATTATTTACCCTTTGAGTTCCTAGTGGAGCAGCCAACTTCATTAGCACGTCACCATTTCGCTTGCTTCTTTACAGTCTCGCCAACCTGGCTCCATGACTCCCCATAAGCTTTCATTTCTTCTTCACACAATCTCTTCCATGTCACTGTCGGATGACCAACTCGTCGTTTATCATTTAGGTTCCACTCGACTACCTGACTCGTGATGTCCCCAAATGCTATTCTTTCTGTTTCATAGCCTTTCTTCAGCCGCAAACAATCTACAACTAAAATGAAGTATTGGTAATAATGATGTAGAAATAAGTGGAGATTTGGTATTCAGGATCAACTATAAAGTGGTAGTGAATGAGTCAAGGTAACACCAGTCTTAGAAAATTCTGAAGGTATGGAGTGAGTGGGTAAAGGGTGAAGGGTAAGAAATGGGAAATCAGTGTAAAACAAAGGACTGTTTAAGAGGTAACAGGTTGCGTAAATACAGTCAGTAAGTAACTCATGTAGCGGCTATGTAATCAGAGGAAAAGGCAAGACTGTACATACACACATAGCAGCCAAGTAAAGAAAGGTTGATTACAATCTCCATCTGAGTTCATAGATCAGAGTGAAAGTGTTTGATGGTGAGAGCTTCCTGAAACTTGAAGCATTGAAAAACATCTCTACTTGATGCTCTGTCTCCACTAAGCACCTGGCGTCTGCACTGACGGAGACCTTACCACCATTTAGACACAGATTCCTCAGAATATGCTCATAAAATGGAGTAGATGAGCCTTCCTTTCACTCCGTCTTATTTACTTGCTTCCACAAACAAAGGTAATGTAAGATGATTATTCGTCTACTTTAAACTATGTTATTGAGCATACTGAGATCAGTTTGACAGCAGGGAAACTCCTTCACATTTGATGGAAGTGGAACATCAAATAGATGTTTCTCATCCCTTTCAGGTGGTGGTAATAATGGTGATATATTATGTAATAAAGATTCCATTCCTTTGTGAATGCTGGTATTTTCATGGTTGATATGATGGATAGTGGCTAGCAGGCCTATTTAGGACTCACTCATTAACCGGAATGTACCTACCTCCCTCTCAGCAAATGATGCTCGGGATTCGAGCTTATAAATGGTTGTTTCTAGTAGGGTTTGAGGTCTGTGTACACAATAGTAGGAAGGTGAATATCGAGATGATCGGATCGACATTGGGTAGTGAATAAAGGCAGAATAAGAATTTGAACCGCGGTGGGATTCGAACCAGTAACCAGTAGGTTTTTTGACCTTCTGTTTACTGGAGTACAAGGTGTGACTTCTGACGAAGTTTTTTATTTTATTTCAATGATCCGAAATTTTTCCTGACTACCATATGAATTCGTGATACGTTGTGACCAGAAACTCAATGGTAGCTGGTTCGAAACCCTCCGCGGCTTAAGTTTTCATTTCACCTTCAATCATTACCCAATATCAATACTAATCTGTCTAAACGACAGCTATCCTAGGTCATCTAAATGACATATACATTGAAATGTATTCAGTAGTCATGTGGACATTCATAAGGTTGTGTGTAAAGGCTGATGATGAAGGCTGGTTAAAACTTCGTAGGTGGATCCAGATTCATATTTGTGTTAATTCCTTCCAAGTACAGTTTTTTAGTTGTTCAGTTCTGATTGTGAAATGAGTCAATTGATGACACACAAACTATTTCTCTTGTATGAGTCAATTTTAGAAGTTGATTAGTTAACGCGAGAACCAGTACTCCATGGAGACTTTAGTCATCTCCCTTCCCTAAATCCTCTCACATATGTTGACCAACTGAGAAAGATAAGAAAACAGTAATAATAGTAATAATATTCAGCATGTTATATTCCAATAAAAATATATATTTACTCGTTCCTTTTATTATTATTATTATTATCGTCTCTTGGGTTCCTAGTGGAATATATGGCTTAAGTAGCACATCTCCATTGCACTTTTTCCTCTGTAATCGTTTCAACCTGCCTCTACGAAAGCCGACAAGCTCTCATTCCATCCTCACACCATCTCCTCCATGTCACCCTCACCTCGGACAGCCAACTCATCGTTTCCCATCTAGGCTCCACTCGAGGCACTGGCCTGGTGCGTGACGTCCACAGTTGGCCTTCTCAGTGCATGCCCAATCCATCTCCACTTCCCTCCAGTGCATATTTGTTCACCGATAGGTTCTCCGTTGAGTCGTTCACAGCCAGATTTCCTTGTTGCTTAACATTTCTGGCCATCCATCTGAGCTTCAGTAAACGAGCCAGCGTAGGTGGCAGTTGTTGATGAATGTGTGTAGTTTGTTGGAAATGCTTTTCGTGACACGCCAAGTCTATCAACCATCACATAGAAGCACTGACTTGACTGAATTGGTGTTGAAATTCCAGGTTCTTGTTCTTTGTGCTGAGTGCAGTAGATGTGCACACTGGTTTCAGGTTAATGAACGCCTGTCTTGCTGTCTTTCTGATCCTGACTGCTTTGACATCCTCGTCTGTGCCTGTGCCGCCTGTAGTTGAAGCAGTGCTGCACTGGTTTATCTTCTGCTTCACCATCCTCCTCTCCCTGCTCTATCAGATTCCATGTGTCCATCGAGATCGATTTTTCTTATCTTCTTCAGACCACTCCTTCCATTACACCATTCTGAATAGTTTTCAATAAGTTCACATAGTGATAATTTACCTATAACTTAGAAAGTGATGAAAATGAGTTAACAAGTGTTCGATTCGAAGATTAAATGAATACATAATAGAAGTTTAGAGATTAGTGTAGTCTATGGGAAACGTTCACATTCGAATGTTTTGTCAGATTTCGAACCCTTCCATCTCATTTCAGTTATATACTAGGCTTAGTTAAATGCTTAATTGATAAGGCGATAATGCGCCAGAAAATCAAGAATACCTTACGTATCTCAATAATTACACATCTAAATGTATGAATAAATTCATAAGAAATCGAACGGAAAGCAGGGTAATAACTCAAGTGTTCATAATAATAATAATAATAATAATAATAATAATAATAATAATAATAATGATAAACCCACTAATAGTAATAATGGTGACAGGGTTACCGTACAAGGAAGGCATCTCAGAAGCATTACAAAGAATTCTTAATCACGATGGCTATGATTCAGCTGGGTGGTATTCAAACCAAAAACTTGTTTAGAAACAAGTTTTGTAGGTTGAAAAATCCTATCTATGCAACTAAGCAAAATAATCTTGTTAACCGAATCCCTAGTAATGATTGAGAGGTCAAATACACAGGTAAAAGTAAAAGTAGTCGACCAACGAGGGTAAATTAGAGTAATAAAGCACAAAAGCTTAGCTAAATCAACATTTGTAGATCCTGGTAAGATAAGATCGACAACTTCGACCGAGAAGTAATTTGGAAAAATCTTCAACACTATACAGTAAGTGTCACAAACCTATATCAACATCATTCAACAGCAGCTATATGCTGCATGATGCTACATACCAAGTGATTGACAATAGAAAGCTCAGTGATGTCTTTGAAGTGAAGTGAAGACAAGAAGTAGTAAGACAAGGCTGCCGATAATCTTTGTGATTGTGGTCGACTTGATAAAATAAACTTATTCTTCACTAGAATCGGGGAGATGAAATGAAACCAGTTGGTGCAAGCCTTCAAGGAGCCAATTGGCCGATGAAAGCGAAAGTAAGAATGGGGACATGGAAAGTCTGCACAATGTTTGAAGCTGGCTGGCAAGGCTGCGCAGACTGTAAAAGAAATGAGAAGATTCACCGATGATCTTCGTGATTGTGGTCGACTTGACTGAACTGCATCATGCAAGAAACAACCATGAGAAGCGAGAAGATGGGCATACGCTGGCTGTTTGGCCGATGAAAAGACCCCAGAAGATATGGATTTCGGCCATGACGATTTGTGTCTAATGGCTCATGCCGTACAAACTCGATGATCTACAGGCGAAAACCAACACGTTGTCAGAAGAGGCGAAACGAGGTGAGGTAGCGAAGGAAGACGGGACTTCGTTCAAGTGAAGGCAGAGAAGACAGAGGTGATGAAGATACCCAACCAACAACAACAACAACAATAACGAGCACCAAGCACCATGAACTGGAGAAATGTGAAGAAAGTTGTCTCTTCCATCCACCTACCCAGGCAGGTGGTAACTACAGTTGGCTATGGCAGGACAGATGAAGATTTGAAAGCCAGGATTGTAAAGACAGCAAGACAGGCCTTCCTTCATCGATCTGAAATAATCGGTGTGGAGATCTACAGCACTGCACCGCACTGAACTCAGCATAAAGCGTGAACAACATCCGGGTTTTCAGCACTAATGTCAGTCAAGTCAGTGCCTGCTTCTATGTGATGGTTAAGACACTTGGCGTGTTACGAGAAGCATTTCCAAGAAACTGTAGACATATATGAATAGCTGTCACCTACAGTCACTCAACACTGAAGATCAGATGATAAGACGAGAAAGAATAAGCAAGTAGGAACTTCTGCCTGACAAAGAACCATTGATGCAAGTACCTATCACCGAACAAATATGCAGAAGGAGAAAGTGGAGATGAATTGGATTGGATTGGACATAGACTGCGAAGACGGTTTGAGAACATCACGCGCCAGGCCAGACCGTTTAGTTGAACCCCAAATGGGAAACAAAGAGTTGAGAGTCTGTGCCGAGTGTGACATGGAGGAGATTGTGTGATGAAGAAATGAAAGGTTATGGGGAGTGCCGCAGCCAGGTTAGGTAGACTGCAGAGAGCAGAGTGAAATGGCGACGTCTTATTCAATCCGCATAGTCCAATAGGAACTCGAACGACAAATAATAGATGCCCAGAGGTGGGGCGATCGCCTGCGATGTACTTTATACAATAAATGTCAACTGTTGAATCAGATTTTCGACAGTAACGTCAGTCAAGTCACTGTTCGCTTGTATATTATGCTCGAGAGACTTGGCACTTTAGAAAAAGAATTTCGAACAAACTGCAGACACACAAGAACAGCTAACACCTATATTCACTCAATACTGAAGACCAAATGAGAAGGCAAGAAAGAATAAGCAAGGTGGTACTGTTGCCTGGCAACGAACCCACCAACCAAGAAGCTATCGCTCAACAAATATGCAGAAGGATATAGTGGAGATGGATTGGATATACACTGACAAAACCATTTGGGGATATCAAGCTCCAGGTCAGTTCGTCAAGTGGCACCCAAATGAGAAACGACGAGTTGGGCATTCAAGTCTGACATGGAAGAGGTGGTATGAGGAAGAAATAGAAAATTATTGGGAGTGGTGAAGCCAGGTTGAAGAGACTAGAGAGAAAGAGAGTGAAGCGGAGACATGCTACTAGGAATCCAAAGTAAAAATATTAATCAATAAAGTATAATTTTCAACCTACCGATGATAATCCTGTCAATACACGTAGTGTATAAAATAAGTGTAAAGATCTTGTTGCTATAATTGGTACCAGTATAGTTGATGTACTCAACACAATTAAAGAGATAAATAGTACTAAGCGTACATTGAATTTTTGTATAAGAATGCCTGATGGTATTTGTCCAATAAAATAACCCCAAAATATTATACCCAATAGAATTCCTCGACTTGTACGATCCCATATAAATGGCCCATCTATTATACTCTAAATTACATAATCAATAAAAGAACATAACAGAAACAAAGTTAAATATATATTGAGAAAGAAATGAAATTTTCATTAACTTTAAACTACATTTTGAAATATCTCAGATATTCTAATGAAAATCCTTAACCTCTGAAGTTAACTAGTCGGAAGGGAAGGGAAGTTAACATAGTGATGAATAGTTATGCCAATATGGTGATAAGCAATGCCAACCACTCTTACAATAGAACAAATCAGCTTAAGTAGCACGCCTCCATTGTAGTCTGTTCTCTGCAGTCTGGATCCACATGGCTCCACGACTGCCCATAAGCTGCTTTCATTTCTTCCTCACACTACCTCCCCCATGTTAACCTCGTTTTGGATGCCCAACTCATCGTTTCCCATCTGGATTCCACTCGACGGCCTGGCGTATATTGTCCCCAACTGACCTCAGTGTATACCCAATCCATCTCCACTTTATTCTACTTCATATTTTAAGTTGTTATTCATCGTAGACTGACATCAGCTGGAGGAACAAAGGAAACCTGGGAGCACTGAACAACTGTTTCGTCCTAGATGGAACTCCCCAACAGTGCACTTCCACGACCTCTCCAGGGATCGAACCTGAGACGTTCAGGTCCCGTGGCCAGCAGGTTACCATTGAGCCACTGGGTCAGAACACAGTGCCCCATATTTCCAACTTCTGTTAGCAGACGATATAGCGCAACCGTCACCTAATGTCATCGTTGAGTAACTGTCCTCATGACCATCAGGCTTTGTTGGGTGGAAGGTCCTTGGTTGGTTCGTTACCAGGCCAGAGTTTCTCCTTGCTCATTCTTTCTCGCCTTCTCATCTGATCTTTAGTATCCAGTGAGCGTAGGTGTCAGCCGTTGATGAATGTCTGCAGTTTGTTGCACATGGTTTTCGTGATGCACCAAGTTTCTGAACCATATAGAAGCACTGACTTAACTGAATTGGTGCTGAAAATCCGGATGTTGTTAACGCTTTATGCTGAGTGCAGTGCAGAAGATCTCCATACTGTTTTCAGGTTAATGAACGCCTGTCTTGCTTTTCCGATCCCGGTTTTGACATCCCTGCCTGTTCCTGTGCCGCCGCATGTAGTTAAAACGATGCTGCCTAGATAGGTGAGAGAGGCTACTTCCTTTAGGTTTCTCCAGTTCACGGTGATTGGTGCTTGTTGTTGATGCTGTTGTTGGTTGGGTATCTTCATCACCTCCATCTTCTCTACATTCACCTGAACAAAGTCCCGTCTTCGTTTCCCTGCCTCTTCTGTCAACTTGTTAGTTTTCGCCTGTAGATCTTCGAGTTTGTGCGACATCAGACATAAATCATGATGGGTAAAATGCATATATTTTAGGGTCTTTTAATCGGTCCAGTCAGAGTATGCCCATCTTCTCGCTCCTCACGATTTGGAAGCCATGTAGGTAGACACATTCTGACCCATCAAATACATACACATAAACAGGTAAACATAATAGAATGTGACGTAACCACCCGTTCGGAGCTGCATAATACTCGCTTATGTTAGCTTACATCTCAAAATTGTATCGTACAATGATATGAAGACATCACGAAGGAGTTGTGTGTGTACTGTTACCTTTGGTACTACCTGACCTCTTCAATGGTGTATAAATTTCAACGGATATCCGTTTTTTGCAGGTCAGTAATTTGATATCTACACATACAATAGATTTCATTCAACAAGAATTTCATTACACCTCACTTGCAGTGGAAAACTAAGATATTGTCGTGTCCACTAGTTACTAGCCGGTCCTAAGCCCAGATAAAAGAGAGGAGGTTGGGCATAGGGCTAGCAACTTTACCCCGTAAAACCAATCAAATCGCTAAAGAAACTTCAAAGCGAAGACAAAATATAAAACATAAAAACAAACCTACTCCTCGCTGGAATCAGAGAAGCGAAATGACGCCACTTGGTGAAAGCCTTAGGGAAACCATTTGGCCGATATTTCTTCTCTCAATGAAAGGGAGAGTACACATAGGGACATGGAAAGTTCGCACCACGTATGAACTTAGTAAGGCTGCCCAGATTGCAAAAGAGATGAGAAGGTATGGCATAGAACTGCTTGGAATCTGAGAGAGTAGATGCAATGGAACTGTCAACTGGAGAATTAATAATCTACTCCGATATCGTCATCCAGACGTCAACTACCAGCACACTGAGTTTTCGACTGGCTATTATGATGTTCCTAGGAGCATCGAAGGCTCACTCTAATGCAGTGCGAACCAATCTCCTCCTCCAGGATCATGACAGCAAGATTCAGCTCAAAAGGAAGGAAAGTCACAGTCATTCAATGCTACGTTACGCACCTACAAATAATGAGGATGAAGAGAAGAAGGAGGAATTCCACGGACAACTGTAATCAGTACTGGACAAGACCCCCAGCCGAGATGGCGACATCAAAATTCCAATGGGTGGAGTGATCTGAATACCAAACTGCGAGCAAACAACACAGGTAGAGAACCAATCATGGGTGGAGAAGCACTCGGTGAAATGAACGAGAATGGAAAACTTCTGCGCATTCAACTATTTGGTGATTGGAGACACTGTGTACAAACACAAGGATATTCACAAAGCAACATGGATTCGATTTCACCAGATAGACACACTACACTAAAAATCAGATCGACTTCATTTCAATCTGAAGAAAGTGGAGACGCAGCCAGCCTACTGGACACAAGATCAGATCAAGAAGAGGGGTCGATGTAGGTTCACACCACTCACCCTCTAGTGCAAGGAACCTTCAAAATCTAGTTGAAAGCCTTCACAGAAGTTGGTGATAGACCACAGTTCAAGTTCAACACTCAAAAACTGAAGGACGAAACTACAAAGGACATCTTCACATCGTCAGCCTTCAGGAAGAAATGAGAGACACTAAGCAACACCCTGAAGGGACCTGCTTGGAAGAAAACTGGAAGTCGTTGAAAGAAACGTGGAAGGAAACCTGTATAACCGTATTAGGAAGGAAGAAAAAGCAAGACAAGGAATGGATCTCCACGGATCTCCACATGGAAGCTGACAGAGGAGAGGAAGATGGTGAAGCAGAAGATGAACCAGTGCAGTGCAGGGATGAACAACGAAAACAGTAAATGAGTACAACCTATGAAACAGTAGACTAGACAAAAAAGTGAAGAAGAGTGTATGAAATGACAAAAGACACTTTTATGGCACGATGGAAAGTGAGGCAGAACAGGCTGCAGGTAGGAGAGACCTGACAACATTATATCAAATAACCGGGCTACTATCTGGCAGGGAAGAGATCAACTCAGATGAAATCAATGAAAGATCGACAAGGAAACCTAGTTACCATTGAAGAGGAGAAACAAAGAAAACGATGGGCTGATCACATCAAAAAACTCTTGAATCGACCATCACCACCACCTACAACTCGTCAGAAATACCATCAGTGATCACAAGCCCTCCGACAAAGGCCGAAGTTCTAAATGCCATGCCATAAAGTCACTGAAATCCAGGAAAGCAGCAGGATCAGATGGAAGCATTAAAGACAGATGCAGAGACAACAGCGGATATGCTCACACAACACCACTATTGCAGAAGGTTGGAAGGAAGGAAGGAATGAGGGCTACCCTGGCAAACTTTCAAAGAAGAGCGACCTAATTCTTTGCAAGAACTGGCGTGGAATCATTCTCCATCCCTGTCCACCCAAAGCAAGCAAAATATTAAGCCGCATCATCCTGGAGAGACTAAAGGATATGCTGGATTCCAAACTCCGACCGGAACAGGCTGCCTTCAGGAAGAACAAATCATGTGAGGATCAGATTTCAAAGCTACACTACACATTATCATAGAACAGAGCACAGAATGGCAATCAACCGGATCTGTACCTCAACTTCATGTATTTGGAAAAGACCTTCTACAGCGTCGACCGAGAAGTCATTTGGAAACTGCTTCAACATTACGCTTTTAGTACCACAAACCTGACCTTTATCAACCTCATTCAACAGCAGCTATGTGCCATATGACGACGCCACATGCAAAGTGATTGATAACGGAAAGCTCAGTGATTCCTTTGAAGTGAAATGAAGTGAAGACAGGAAGGAGTAAGACAAGGTTGCCTACTATCACCATCGATGATCTTCCTGATTGTGGTCGACTGGATTATGCAACAAACTATGAGGAGTGAGAAGATAGGCATACACCAACTGGACCGATGAAAAGATCCCAAAATATTTGGATTTCACCCATGATGGTTTATCTTTAATGTTGTACAAACTCGAAGATCTACAGATCAAAACCAACGAGTTGACAGAAGAGACAGGGTAGCGAAGACGGGACTTCAAGAGAATGTAGAGAAGACAGAGGTGAAGAAGATACCCAACGAACAGCAACAAGTATCAATCACTATGAACGAGAGGAACCTAAATGAAGTAGTCTCTTTCACCTACCTACCTACCTAGGAGGCAGCATCCTTTCAACTACAAGTGTTGGCGGCGCCACAGATGATGTGAAAGTCAGGATCAGAAAGACAGCAAGACAGGCGTTCATTAACCTGAAACCAGTGTGCACATCTACTGCACTCAGCACAAAGAACAAGAACCTGGAATTTCAACACCAATTCAGTCAAGTCAGTGCTTCTATGTGATGGTTGATAGACTTGGCGTGTCACGAAAAGCATTTCCAACAAACTACACACATTCATCAACAACTGCCACCTACGCTGGCTCGTTTACTGAAGCTCAGATGGATGGCCAGAAATGTTAAGCAACAAGGAAATCTGGCTGTGAACGACTCAACGGAGAACCTATCGCTGAACAAATATGCACTGGATGGAAGTGGAGATGGATTGGGCATGCACTGAGAAGGCCAACTGTGGACGTCACGCACCAGGCCAGTGCCTCGAGTGGAGCCTAGATGGGAAACGATGAGTTGGCTGTCCGAGGTGAGGGTGACATGGAGGAGATTGTGTGAGGAAGAAATGAGAGCTTTTGGGCAGTCGTGGAGTCAAGTTCAAAAGATTTCA